ACTATATACAAAATCTCCCAACCAGTGAGAATCCTAGCCTCTCAACCAATCAATTAATGAAATTCTTTGTCATGGTATTAGATCAAGTAAAACATTTTGAGTACATATCTTCTTCATCATCAGGCTAATCAGTCAAAGGAATGCTAGCATCAAACTCACTAATTGTCGGAACCTTGGTTGTTGGAGTAAGCAGAAGATGGCTAGTTGCAGGATGTTCCTGAATTGACCAACTTTCATATATTAGCGACAAAAAAATCTCAATGCTTTCTTTTATTCATTTTTATTATATGAATCATTGAATTTTTATTCTTTCACCTAATATTTATTATATGATTTTTTCACAAACTTTAACGACTTTAAATTGAAGTTGATTTACTCTATTTAATAAACCCAGAAGAAAAAAATGTCTCTACATTTTAACTATTTATCTTATAGATGATGTTAAAATTCATGTTTAGAAGGCACATAGCATATTTAATCAAACGAAGTAGCATTGATATAGTTGAAGAAGTGCAATTTGAATATTATTATTTATTCAAAGACATACGATAGATTGATACAAACATGATGTGACATTGGTAAGGAATAATGTATTCTCACTAATAATGTTACACTGACATACTCTGAAGAACACATTGACGACAATTATAAGAAATGAACGAAGTACCTTCTCACGCTTGATGACAAGGAGTATGACAAGAACACATCAGACGCAGGAAGCAGCAAATGTTTGAACCGTCGAGATATTGTAATAACTAAACTTGATAAACCACTTCATTAAAATTGATATACATAAAGAAAAGTAAATTGCATTCAAAATCTCAATTAACACCAAATTAAGCTATTATTATTGCCAAACAGAATTACACACACAACTAATCCAAAAGCATCTTAACATTATTCTTGACAAAGAAAACACATTCAAGAAACATAAATGATCTTAATACCACCAATGGTAATACCTTCTCCACTAACTTCTGGCACCAATGTAATCAATATATATTCATCATCTAAAACAATCCAAATCCTCTGACAGCTCAATCAATCTCCACCTAATCTTAGTCTTTACCCTGGAAAATTCTTATGTGGCACCTATGAGAAGCACCCGGCATACTCCACCTTGTCAAATACATAGGGATCATCATCTTCATCCTTATCAAACACATCAAACGTCACAAACGTTCCAGTGTCGACTTCAATCCCTTCGATCGTGTACTTGAATCCGATAGAAAGAAGCCACTCTGTCCATTTTAGCTTGGAGTATATCATCTCAACAATAACGGCGTACTTGCATCCTATAGGCAGCAGGATACCAACTGCTATTGCATTGAATGTGACGAACTTGTTCACGCATTCCATATCTGAAACCTAAAAATAAATTTAAAAAATAAGGAAAAAAATAAAAAGATCATCTTAGTTCGACTGTCTGCAATCCATAATACAATGAAACGACATTCTACTAAGAGATGAATAATGATATTCAGTTGTAATAAAAATGGATAGGAAAAATCAGATAGTGAAAATCGATATTAATTTATCTGAAACTTTTTATTGCTTGAAACAGATTTTAAACACATATAATAGATCGATTATCATGTTTTGCACAAATTATATATGCTGAATAATTATAGATTCTACGGAGATGCTTACCGATTGAAAAGGCATACTCACAACAGTGCATGAAATTACAACGGGTTGAGATTTCCAAAGAACAGAAGATGAATTTTAGAATATCACCTTCTTTTGTAATAGTTATGTTCTATCCATCCATTCGAATTTGAATTCTCACTTGTTCAGCCCATCACAATTAAATGCAGACATTACTAGAATGGGGAATCAATAACAGTTAAGAACATATATATGGAAAGGTCCGTGTGTAGTAATTTGGGTTTTAATTTTATATTGTTGTAGTAGTTTATATGTTTCTTCTAGTAAAATAGTAAATATGGAAATTCAATATATATGTAAGACATTTGTGATTTTTTCTCATGACTAAATGTGCTGGGAACTGGACCGGGCTACAGCCCAGCACAATCCCCTACATCTGCCCATGTTTCAGCCAAAGCTGCCTCTTTTTCCTAAATGAACGAAAAATTGTCATCAATTTCAAAGACTAAACATGTCTTGCAAGCTGATCAAATCCACAATTGTTAGCAATTAAAATGATAAAGAAACCGATATGTGAGAGATGTTGCTGCTTAAAATCAACTAGATAAGTCACAATTGTTAATTTGATACCCATTCTTCGAGTAGTGTTCAGTAAAATCACATTATGAATTGACGTTCGTTTATTTGCGTGTTATAATTTGAAGTGATTATCTAAGGTTCCATGATCATATAGGATGTCACAAATTGTATACTCGATGAATCGGGTATAGTAAGACACAATTCGTGATGTGATCAAAATTATGTCGTTCACAATCGGTTCATAAAGTTGGACGCTTTATGTTGATAAGATTGTATTGTTCTTATTAAGATTTGTCTAGATCTTGAAATACGAACAATAATGTGTTTTGATGCACATTGAACGGGACCGCGTAGATGACTCATCTGTGACCGTTCGAAATGATACTCTACTTAATTATCAAACAAGTCACCTAAATCCTAAGTGAGTAATGTACCTTTGATTGCTAGTTCAAGTTCTTTGAAGTACCAATGAGTGAAGTTTTAAATAGAAGATTGATTTCGGTGCTTTGGAAATCGCGCCAAAACAATTAAAAATCATATACTTACAATAGTGAAATCCATTAAACATTGAAATGAGACGATCGTCACTCTAAGGTATTTTTCTAAGCAAATTGAATCTGAGCTCAGTAGGTCGACGATGAGATCGTTGGACTTTATATTGTGATTTGATCACAACGAATTTGCTGTATGAAAATGAGACTTAGAAGGTAATACATGTTGAACGGCAAAATGATCATTGTATCAGTTTCAACATATTGGCAGTCAAATGGGGGTTAAATTATGAAATGATAATAAGATGATATTGTTATTGGATCATAATTTGCTTCTATAACTTTCACTCGACTCGAAAGTGCAATCTCGCTTTTTTGGTAGAATAAACCGGGATTAATAGATGTATCTCAATTTGTCAAGAGTTGACCCAATTGGAAACATCTATTGGAGCTTGAGTCATGTGAGTCCGGTTAAGTCCCTCTCTTGGCTCCAATAAAAGGTGTGTGACTTAATTGATCTACTACAATAAAGTCTAAGAACATTTGTGCAATTTCTAAAGCCTAAGAGGGCATTATAAATATGCACTTTATTGGCATATTTTATATGAGAATTAGAGTCAGCCACTTTTCACTTTTTTGAAAAGAAAATACACTTAGTGGAGAACAAAAGAGAAGATCAAAGGGTGGAAGCAATTTGCTAGGTCATTAAAAGCTCCTTCAAAAGGTTATCATCTCTCATTTCTATGTGTGAGGATTTTTTATAATCCAATAATTTCAAAGTTACTAAAATTCTTATTTACATGGTTTTAATCTTCAAAGAAAAATTAATTTCCTATTGTGATGATTAAAATCCATTAACCAACAAATGCTATCAGAGCCAAGGTTATTATAAGCCTTGAGTAGGATTAAATTTTTTAAAAATCCTAGTGTAATATGCATTTTAGTTAGGTGGTGTTAGATTATTTGATTTTGACATGTTTATACTTTAAATATGTTTAAAGTTATTGTTGATACATTCATAATCACTTTTGGCCATAGAATTTTTTTATTTTTATTATTATTATTATTTTACTTCCTATTGTAATTCATTTGTTATAGTTATTCTCTAGAAATGTTGTAAGCCATAAGGCACTAGGTTTTTTTTTTTTTTTTTTTTTTTTTTGTATTTTTTATCTTTGTTTCTAAACTTGTATTTTGGTTGAAGAAATGTAAAGAGGAAAAGAGAAAAAAAATGCAAGAAAAATCGAGCAGCAGCTGCCCCGTCCTTGCGAGGCAGCAGCGGCTGCTGTTTCGGCACCTGGGGCTGCCTTGTCGGTGGCGGTGCTGGCAGTCCCTTTTGGGGTCCCCGGAGATTGCACCGTCGTTGGAGTTGTGTGTGTTTTCTTGTTTGGGTTTGAAAATTAGGATAATTTGGATTTTTTAGGCCTCTCTTTGATACTTGGGCCAATGTTGTTGGATAATGACCTTATTGATTTTAAAATTTGGGCCTAAAAATTAAATTAACCATATTCTCATGTTACATGATGTGGACTACAAAGAAGATTGAAGAATTGGACCAGGATGTGGCCCAATGTAATTCTGGTTATCCATATTGTAATTTAAATTTTTAGGATGGGCCATTAGTAATTATTATTCATTTAATTATCACTTTTACCGCTTTATGGATGGATGAATATTTAATTATTATCGCATGTTATGTAAATTAAATGAAACACCACTCAGTGCACTAAAATCATGTGCATTTACATTTATATTTTTTTTATCACTCTAAATTAATTAGAGGTGGTTGAAAAATATTTTATATAATTAGTACCATTATAATTGTTTATATTTGGCGGACTAATTAAGTGAAAATCCAACGGTACAAAATAATAAGTGGGAGATGGTTTATAGGTATGTATAAACCTACGGCCTCCTCTATCATCCAATTTGTTATTAAAATACGTATGTTTAGTATCAAATTATATCGGTCTCCCTATAGGAAAACTACGTTATTTTAAATTAACTGGAATTAGATCTAGTAATAGAATTTCTTTGAAAATGAAATAATGTGATGATCATCCTATAGACGACATCTTATATATTTCGGATATTTTAAAATTATTGACGGAAGTTATTACACTTATATATGAATATTTTTGGGGGACTTCCTATAGAAGATTTCAACAAAATTATTCATAGGCCAAATAATAGTCAATCCTCATTTTCTTGTGGCATGAGATGTCTAACTCAATAAAATGAGTGGAAGGGTCCCAACCTTGCCAATAACTATATTGACCTCCTATAGAAGGTGTGTTAAAGGTTTTAAGGGTTTAAGGTTTTTGATTACAAATATAGTTTTGGGTTTATATTTGCATATTCATATACATGCATCATACAAAAATTATTGCTCATTTTATTAATACGCGAATTGTTAATTTTACAGAAAAATGTCGCTTAATCCATTATTAGTAATTCTTAACAAAAATCAACTTGCGGGAGAAAACTACGTTGATTTGAAAAGGAATCTTAATATTATTCTTACTGCTGAAAAACACAAATTTGTGCTGGATGAAGTTTGTCTCGAAACCCCTAAAGATGACTCCACGGATCTCAAAAGGCTGCATATGAAAAGTGGCATCATTTTGATGAGATGGTCCGTTGTTACATTTTGGCATCCATGTCAAATGTATTACAACGAAAGAATATGGAAACTGTTTTTGACATAATGGAAAGCTTTCAAGAGATGTTTGGACATCAAAGCTGACAAGCTAGGCAAGGTTCCATTAAGGAAATCATGAACACACGCATGAAACTAGGTGCATCTGTAAGGGACCATATGTTAACCATGATTGGTCACTTCAATGTTGCGGAGGTTTTAGGAGCTGACATTGATTTCGAGACGTAGATTGACATGGTCCTTGAGACTCTTCCTGAGATGTTCTCACAATTTATAGTTGATTATAATCTACACAAGATGGACATGTCGCTGACGGAATTAATGAAAGAGCTCCAAAACGCTGAATATGTTCTAAAGGCTAGGAGTGGAAGTATTTTGACTGTTACAGCCGGACCCTTTCATCCTAAGCCTTCTGGTGGCAAAGGAGGAAAGAAGAGGAAGAGGCCAAACAAAAAGCCAGATAGCAAGTCAAAGAGGAAGAAAACTACTGTCGATGAGAAACCAAAGGGAAAGTATTTTATTTGTGGACAAAAGGGTCACTAGAAGAGGAATTGCCCGGATTACCTAGCTAAGGGGAAGCAAGGTAAAGGCAATAATGCCCTATTCATTGAGTCATATTTAGTGGTTGATTCTACTAATACCTTGATTGTAGATTTTGGAGCCACTAATCATGTTTGTAATTCTTTGCAGGGGTTCCAGGAAACCAAGTATCTCAGTGAAGGGGAGTACACTCTTAGGGTTGGCACAGGAGCAGTGGTATCTGCCAAAACTATTGGCTTTTTTGATTTATGTTTTGAGAATCGTAGGCATTTGATATTAGATGACTGTTATTATGTTCCCGAACTTACACGAAACTTGGTTTCCGTTGTACTTTTATATCATGTTGGTTATTCGGTACTTTTTACTCGTTCTACGGTGGTTATTAAGTTGAATAATTATGTTATATGTTTGGATCATATGGTTAATAGTCTTTATGTCTTAAGTCATTTGATTGGCTCTATACATAACACTACTACTGCTAAGAAAAGAAAGAGGTAGTCTAGTACTAATGAAACTCTCTTATGGCATCTTAGATTGGGTCATATCAATCTAAATAGGATTCAAAGATTGGTAAAGGATGGTCCTTTAAATGAGTTAGAGGTGGAATCTATACCAACTTGTGAATCTTGTATAGAAGGAAAGATGACCAAGAGGCCCTTTAAGGCTAAGGGACTAAGAGCCAAAGAGGTTTTGGAATTAGTACATTCCGATGTTTGTGGACCTATTAGTACTCGGGCTAGAGGAGGATACAAGTACTTTGTCACCTTCACAGATGATTACTCTAGATTTGGATACATATACCTTATGTCTCACAAACCTGAAGCTTTGGAGAAATTCAAGGAGTTTCGAACGGAAGTTGAGAAATAATTAGGTAAGAGTATCAAGGCCCTTCGATCTGATTGAGGTGGCAAGTATCTATCCCAAGAGTTTAAGGTCTATTTATCGGATAATGAGATATTATCCCAATTGAGTGCACCAAGAACTCCCCAACAGAATGGTGTCTCGGAAAGAAGAAATCAAACTCTTTTAGATATGGTAAGATCAATGATGAGTTATTCCTCATTGCTTATATCCTTTTGGGGATATGCACTACAAACATCCATTTATATCTTGAACTTGGTACCATCTAAATCAGTTCCCAAGACACCTCTTGAATTGTGGAATGGGCGCAAGCCCAATTTACACCACATTCGGATATGGGGATGTCCAGCACATGTGCTAAAGGGAAAGACGGATAAGATGGAATCAAGATCAGATGTTTGTTTCTTTGTAGAATATCCAAAAGGAATGGGAGGTTACTACTTCTATAATCCTCTTGATAAGAAGGTATTTGTTAGCACAAATGCAACCTTCTTAGAGGATAAGTATATAGAAAAACACAAGTCTATTACTAAAATTCTATTGGAAGAGATGTTAGAACATGGTTCAAACAACTCAGTTCCAGATTTTCGCATAGAATCTAATAGTGATGACTTGAAACATCATACTGAACCAATGGTTGCTGATGAAGCAAGCAAGCAAGTAATGCCCATAGGGCCTCATAGGCAAATAGAACCAGAGGTAGTAGAGAACGAGGCACCCATTGTTGTATCTTCACATGTCCCTTCAAACGGGGATAATGAAAATGTTGTTCCTAACCAAGGACAGGATCAAGCAGTGGGAAGAGAGGAAAGACCTTTGGTCAGATTGGACAATCAGGCACCTTCAACCATTACTCGTAGTGGGAGGGTTGTGAGACCGCCTTCTAGGTACTCGCTCTATCAAGAATCCTATCAGGCGATCTCTACTGAGCAAGAAGAAGATCCCACTTCGTTTAAGAAAGCCATGGAGGATGTAGACTTTGAATCATGAAAATTAGCCATGAACTCAGAAATGGAATCTATGTATTCCAACAAGGTTTGAGATCTTGTAGATGCACCTAATGGGGTAAAACCTATAAGATGCAAGTGGGTCTATAAAAGGAAAAGAGGTATAGATGGGAAGGTTGAAACCTTCAAAGCAAGGCTAGTACCCAAGGGTTTTACCCAAAGAGAAGGCATCGACTATGAAGAAACCTTCTCACTGGTTGCTATGCTTAAATCTATTCAAGTCCTTTTGTCCATTGCCACTCATTATGATTATGAGGTTTGACAAATGGATGTCAAGACGGCATTTTTAAATGGACGTTTTGAGGAAACCATTTACATGATGCAATCTGCAGGGTTTGTGAAAGAAGGTCATGAAAGGAAAGTTTACAAATTGTAGATGTCCATTTATGGACTCAAGCAAGCGTCCAGAACTTGGAATGTAAGATTTGATCAAACCATCAAGACCTATGATTTTGAGCAAAATCTGGATGAACCTTATGTATACAAGCAAATACAAGGAAAGAAAGTAGTTTTTTTGATTTTTTATGTAGATGACATTCTACTCATTGGAAATGATGTAGGGACATTGTCATCTGTAAAGAAATGGTTGTTACAGCAGTTTGATATGAAAGACTTGGGAGAAGTAGTTATGTTTTGGGAATCCGTATCTTGCGAGATAGGAAAAATAGAAGGATTGCATTATCCTAAACTTCATATATTGACAAAATATTGTCCAGATTTGCAATGTATAATTCCAAAAAGGGACAACTTTCTTTTAGACATGAAATTCATCTATCTAAAAAGTACTGTCCCAAGAATGCAACGGAGATAGATTACATAAGAAGGTTCCTTATGCTTCGGCTGTGGGAAGTCTCATGTATGCTATGCTTTGCACTAGACCGAATATTTGTTATGCTATGGGTATTGTTAGTCGTTATCAGTCTAATCCAGGACCAGAACATTGGGTAGCGGTGAAGCATATACTCAAGTATCTTCGGAGAATGAGAGATTATATGCTTGTCTATTTAGGACATGATTTGAATCCTATTGGATTTACTGATTTCGATTTTCAATCCGATCGTGACTCTAGGAAGTCTACATCGGGATTAGTATTTACACTGGGAGGTGGAGCTGTGGTATGAAAGAGTATCAAGCAATCTTGTATTGCTGATTCTACCATGGAGGTAGAATATCTAGCGGCTTGTGAAGTTACTAAAGAAGTAGTATGGTTCAAGAAGTTTCTTTTGGACCTTGACATGGTACCTTTGGTAATGGGGCCCATAACACTTTATTGCGATAATAGTGGGGCGGTTGCCAATGCTAAAGAACCTAGGAGTCATTAGCGTGGCAAGCACATCGAGAGAAAATATCACCTTATTAGAGAGATTGTTCATCGAGGAGACGTGACGGTTAGTAAGATTGCATCAGCAGATAATCTTGCAGATTCGTTCATTAAGACATTACTAACTAAGACTTTTGATGGACATCTTAAGGGGATGAGTATTCTTGACATGTCACACATACTCTAAAAAGGGCAAGTGGGAGATTGATAGCTTGATGCCCATTCTTCGAGTGATGTTCTGTAAAATCACATTATGAATTGACGTTCGTTTATTCGCGTGTTATAATTTGAAGTGATTATCTAAGGTTCCATGATCATATAGGATGTCACAAATTGTATACTCGATGGATTGGGTATAGTAAGACACAATTCGTGATATGATCAAAATTATGTCGTTCACAATCGGTTCATAAAATTGGACGCTTTATGTCGATAAGATTGTATTGTTCTTATTAAGATTTGTCTAGATCTTGAAATAGGAACAATAATGTGTTCCGATGCACATTGAATGGGACCACGTAAATGACTCATTTGTGACCGTTCGAGATGAGACTTTACTTGATTATCAAACATTTCACCTAAATCCTAAGTGAGTGATGTACCTTTAATTGCTAGTTCAAGTTTTTTTGAGATACTAATGAGTGAAGTCTTAAATAGAAGATTGATCTTAGCGCTTTGGGTATCGGGCCGAAACAATTAGAGATCAGATACTTACAATAGTGGAATCCATTAATTATTGTGATGATACGATCGTCACTCTAAGATATTTTCCTAGGCAAATTGAATATGAGCTCAATAGGTCGACGATGAGATCGTTGGACTTTACATTGTGATTTGATTACAACAAATTTGCCGTATGAAAATGGGACTTAGAGGGTAATACATGTTGAGTCATTTTGCCAGTTTCAAAATATTGACGGTCAAATGGGGGTTGACTTGTGGAACGATAATCAGAGGATATTGTTATTAGATTATAATTTGCTTGTATAACTATCACTCGACTCGAGAGTGCAATCTTGATTTTTTGATAGAATAAGTCGGGATTAATAGATGTATTTCAATTGGTCAAGAGTTGACCCAATTGGAAACATCTATTGGAGCTTGGGTCATGTGAGTCCGGTTAGGTCCCTCTTTTGACTCCAATAAAATGTGTGTAGCTTAATTGGTCTACTACAATAAAATTCAAGAAAATTTGTGCAATTTTCAAACCCTAATAGAGCATTATAAATATGCACTTTATTGACATATTTTATATGAGAATTAGGGTTAGCCAGTTTTCACTTTTTTGAAAAAGAAATACACTTAGTGGAGAATAAATGAGAAGATCTAAGGGAGGAAGCAATTTGTTAGACCATTAAAAGCTCCTTCAAAAGGTTATCATCTCTCCTTTCTATGTGTGAGGATTTTTTATAATCCAATGATCTCAAAGTTACTAAAATCTTTATTTACATGGTTTTAATCTTCAAAGGAAAATTAATTTCCAATTGTGATGATTAAAA